AATTCATGAAAGGATGGGACAACCCTTTACAGGGATGTTACGTAGGAGATTCAAGCCTTGTATAGAGGAGTAGGTGTATTGTGACTAAATACCTTTTAAAATTTTTTCCAATCTGTGAGAATCATAGCCTTATGGACAATGATTTTTTTTTAAAGATTTTATTTATTTATTTGACAGACAGAGATCACAAGTAGGCAGAGAAGCAGGCAGAGAGAGAGGAGGAAGCAGGCTCCCCGCTGAGCGGAGAGCCCGATGCGGGGCTCGATCCCAGGACCCTGGGATCATGACCTGAGCCGAAAGCAGAGGCTTTAACCCACTGAGCCACCCAGGCGCCCCATGGACAATGATTTTGAACAAACTAACAGTGTGATGCTGTGCAGGTCAATTTCATTTTAACATCATTTTCTTCACTTATATAATGGGGTATACAATAATCCCTATTGTACTACTTTGTACAAGATTGTTACTAACTTTTGTGAGGGAATCAAATGGGAGACATTCTAATCTTATGTTATTATATTTCATATTAGGTTTTAATTTAGTTACTATATGTTATTAGATGTTTTATAGTTATATAAAGTTTATATAAAAATATATATAAATTTATATATTTAATATATAAATATATATACTATATATAAATTTATATATATAATTTTTTCTATATTTGATTTTTATTTTGCTACTTTTTTCTAATCTTCATTTTTAAATTTTTTTATAATTCTTCATTTTTTTAATGGACAATCAAAAAAGTTGCTTTGTCTTCCTTTTCAATATATAAACTTGATTATCCTATTTCTTTTTTTAATTTTTATTTAATTTTTAAAATTTTTTTCAGTGTTCCAGAATTCATTGTTTATGCACATCCAGTGCTCCATATATCTAAATTTATTATTATATAAATACATGTACATATTTTATATATAGTTATATATATTTTATATAAAGATAAATATATAATATATATTATTATGTATTATATTTTAATTCATTGTTATAATTAAGAACCCTGATAACTTCAGCCATATTAGAGAAGTAGAATAAATAGAAAAGAAGTAATAGCAACCCAGTGATTGTACACTGGTTCTGCCATCATTTGGGGATTGGTAATTCAGGCAGGAGAAGTGGATTGAAAGCAACCTAAAGAGGGTGTTCCATTCCCTGTTTTTGTTCCTAATCCTATTTTGTTCCAGTCCCTGTTTTGTTCCTAAACTGCAGATTAGTCACAGTTCCATTTTTGGGAGATTCTTTCTATATCCATCTTTGGGACCCTCACCCACATGTTGTCATTTAAAACTTTAAAGGCACTATTCTAGGGGTGCCTGGGTGGCTCAGTCATTAAGTGTCTGCCTTCAGCTCAGGTCATAATCCCAGGATCCTGGGATCCAGTCCCACACCGGGCTCCCTGCTCAGTAGGAAGCCTGCTTCTCCCTTTCCCACTCCCCTGCTTGTATTCCCTCTCTCGATGTCTTTATCTTTCTGTCAAATAAATAAAGAAAATCTTTTTAAAAAGTAAGTAAAGGCACTATTCTACTTCAAAAGAAAAACACAGATCATATGTATGAATTTATATGACTTATTATGTTATATACTTTATGTGATCACACATACACACATATATAAAGATAATTTAAGAACCCTACTGTGGGGGTATATACACCCACACCCATGTGCATTCACACATACATGAGTACACATATATGTGTATAAGCATATATTTTATACATACATTGCACATGGCTTGCAATAACAGTGCCTCTCTAATACTGTTAAATGCCTTGATTTTTGAAGGACTTTAGAAAACAAAGAGAAAAGACTGAATGCAGACATAAGAGGCAATGTTACAATAAGTTGCTATCTTAAAAGAAGAAAGTTGAGGGACAAGAGACCATTATTTTGGTTAATGTCTTGCTTATTGATAATACTTGTGACTTTTATATGAAAGACTCCACAAATATATTATGGATAAAATCCAGATATCATTTAAGGCTTTGATCTGGATATGGAATTGCTGAAGTGTATTGTACAGCTGAAATTAATATAGCACTGTGTGTTAACTACACTGGAATTAAAGTAAATAAAATAAAAGACTCCTTGAGCTGGAAAAGATTTTAGTGATTTTTCCAGTTCAACCATTACATACTATCAGTGGAGCCCAGAGAGGATAAAGGACTTGTCCAAGGTCATATAGTGAGTAATAAGACTGAACAAGGATTCAATCTTGTGACTTCCAGCCTAGTGCCCTCTCAGTTATCTGGGACTTAAACCTTTTTCTTCAGCAGATACTTAAACCTTTTTCTTCAGCAGATACTTTCCTCTGTATCCTCAACAGCTATTACAAGGTCTGGCCCATAATAAATGTTCAGTAAGTTAAATGTATTGGTTACACCAGGCTTTGCACTTACTCCTGGGTAAATTGTAAAGGATATCTGCATTTTAGGTCACATTGTTTTAGGCCAAGAGACACTCTGGGACAAAGTATGAACTATAGCTAGGGAGATGATCCAAATTGAAAAAAATATTTTCTTACTTTTACCACTCATTCAGAGGGTGGTTTACTTTTAGCAGCAGACTCTAGAACTCCTTTGGGAGCCCTAATCCAGTGGCTCTGCAACCATTCATTTACCAACTTGGGTTCATGAGCTGCTTTATTTTTCACCCCTGTGGAAGAAGGGATTCTTCAAAGGAGTATTCATAATGTCCCGATTTTACTAATTAATGTGAAAACTAGATCTAAAGGTTGCAACAGCACCAAAATTGTGAGGATGTTCCTGTTCTAGAATACCCACAGCACTGGACATGAACCCACTGGAATTAGATATAGGGCCTCCCTTCTAGGAGTTGATACTCAAAGACTGAATGGCACTCATAGCGCCATCCTTTCTGTGCATATGACAATCCTCAGTTTGCATAAGGAAAAGGCTGCCAGTTGGGGAACCTGGGTGGCTCAGTTGGTTAAGTGTCCAACTCTTAATTTCAGCTCAGGTCTTGATCTCAAGGTCACGAGTTTGAGCCCTACATTGGGCTCTGTGCTGGGTATGGAGCCTAGTTAAAAAAAAAAAGACTGTTACTAAATTATGTGTTCTGTTTATACCAAAAAAAAAAAAAATCCTGTGGCATGGTGAAAGAGTACTGGCTTGGAGGCCTTAGTTTTCTCATCTGTTAAGTAAAAGTAATGGTAGTATCTATGTGTTATTCATTTAAATAGAATAACTGTGGTTATTTATTTAAATAGCATATATAAACTTGCCAACACAGGCTTTGTTCATAGTAGTTACCTATTAAATAGTAATATTCTTCCTTCATTAACCTCTAATTGAGTGTTCTTCAAGCAAGTCACCTTCCCAGAACTCATCCTTGGGTTGTACTGGGGTGATTTTTAACAGTTCCTTCAAGTCCAGCATTTTGGAAACCTTTGACAAAGGGAAGGGAATGAGAGAGGAAAGTGGGGGGGAAAAAGGGAGGAAGGGAGGAAAGAAGGAAGAAAAACAAAAGTCTTAAAAAAAAAAAAAAGGTCTGGCTGACCTGGCTACTACTGAATCTCATACATAAAATAACCTACTATAATACATGTGTTTTCTGTGCCTGGTCTGTACATTTTAGGCTGAAAAGGGAGAGAGGAGAAAAGCTATAGCTGAATTTATGTGTTTTTGTCCCTGCTATCAAATAGCAATTTATCTTCCCTACCACAAACATGCCTCCTCTGCCAAAAGAAACCTCCCTAAAATCCCAGTCTCTCCCATAAACTAAAGCACAGCAGTAAATAAGAGTGACTTGGATAAAAAAAAAGAAAAAAAAGAAGGAGTGGAGTGAGGGGATTCACAAGCTCAGGCTGTCTCAGGGCTCCAAGCATGAGAAGTTCTGCATGTTTCAGAGCAGCAGGGTATGTATCTTTGTCTATTTCTTTTGGTGACTGTGCCTATGGATCTTTCTGTACCACTTGTGTATTCATTCAGTGTTTGTTGAAGGCCTACTGTATACCAGGCATCTGTTGGGAGCAAGGAGGTAAAATATTGAGTAAAATGTGTTTTTTAGTGGACCTCCTTTTTTTTTTCTTTGAGCAACTGTGATCCTGAGGATCTCTGGGTCTGAGCATGTGTGTATGTGTATGAGTATGATTCTGTGTATCTGTGACAACTCCAAATGTGCACAACAGAAATTGTTTTTCTTCTGCTGGCTTCAGAGGACTTCCTTTCACCTGTTGTGATTCACTTCACAAAGAATGAGTTTGATCTCTGATTTTTATAACCCACAGGATCGGGGATATGATCACTATCAATTTAAAAACAATTAGAAGTCTCTTGGTGTTCTCTTTTATAGAAGCTTTACCTGTATTTTTATTATGAAAAATAAGCACTGTAATAGCTTGAGTATGATCCTTTGAATGATTACAGTTGTCAGGAGGTAGAAACATTGCCTAAATCCAAATTGCTGTGTCATGCTAAAAGAGTGATAATTTCTGCCTTTGGTCACTTTCCCATGGACACTCTTAGCTTTCTTTTTTTTTTTTAAAGATTTTATTTATTTGTCAGAGAGAGAGGGAAAGTGGGATAGCAAGTGCACAAACAAGGGGATGGGCAGAAGGAGAAGCAGGCTCCCCACCAAGTAGGGAGCCCGATGTGGGACTTGATCTCAGGACCCTGGGATCATGCCCTAGCCAAAGGAAGACACTTAACTGAGCCACCCAGGAACCCCATTCTTAGCTTTTAGTAAAGGTAGAACATGTTATTTCTATAAACCAGTGAGTAGTCCTTGTCATAAAGTAGAGCAAGACCTCAATTGTTCATCCTTATAAAAACACCTATGAAAACCAAACAATATAGCATATAAGTAAACCAGGCTGAGTGATTCTGTGTGATCAAATTGTTTAGGGCTATTCTCTGTCCACTTCTTTCATCCGGCAGGATGTATCCTTATGCCATTTCTGCCTAGAAATACTAAAGGAGAGAGATTCTGGAAATGCATTAATGGGGCATCTACTGTTCTGTTTGTTCTCCCAGGTAAACAGAAGTACCTGTGTGCCAGCAGAAACGATTGCACCATTGATAAATTCCGAAGGAAAAATTGCCCATCTTGTCGCCTCCGGAAATGCTATGAAGCAGGGATGACTCTGGGAGGTATGATACTTTTCTTCTTTTTTCATTTTCTCCCTCTCCCTCCCTCATCCTCTGATTCTCTCTTTAAACCAGATTTTCCTCTTTTGGTGCTTCTGAGATGGCCAGCTGTGCTCTAGATACAAACTCACTCCTTCATACCCAACATGGCCATCAGCCAGCTAATGCCTTTCTTTATCCTTAACCATGTCACATCCCACTCTGGGGCTCAACACTGGAGCAGGAGGTGTGTTGCAGGGATCGGGACCCATCAGGGGGTGAGTGAGTTGATTATGAAGGATTCCCCAGGGGACACGGTGATACTGGCCTTATGTTGTTGAATGATGACCAGGATGAAAAAATTACAGAATCCAGAGTAATCACAGGTACAAAATGACTCAGGCACAGGCTGGACCTGAACACCCAGTATCCTCAGTTAACTACCCCTATATTGTAGGACTGGCCACCTGGAATGAAAAGCTGCTTCTCTTTGGCATCTATGACTAGGATGTCAAGCAGAACCAGTTTCCTATCCCATATCTCCCAGGGTTGAGCAGGCCTTTTAATCATTTTCCTTTCTTTGCAAATCTATTGATAACTTCCAACATTTTTTTTTCATAGCACAGTGGCTTGACAGAAGGAAGATACAGCTTTTTCAAGGGCAGCCATTCATCCTAAGGCTCTCTGTTCCCTAGTCTGTGTCTACTGTGAGCACTGTCACCATTCCAGAAAGGCTTGGCTTATCCTTCCATTTTTCCCCCTCCAAATTTTGCATTTCTTCATGTTTACATCTGTGCAGTGGCAGGGTACTCCCTGCTGCCCGCTGCTTCTAAAAAGAAGCACATTTCCTGAGAAAAGCAAGCTTATTAGCCTACTTTGATTTGGAAATGGAACTCTGAAGAAAAGCAAGCTCTCTTCTGAATGCCTGAAACAATAGCCTCCTACCTGAATATTCATTATCAGCCTGGAAAACCCAAGTTCCTAGAATCCTGCCTTTTTCCCTGCCCCTCTCAAGGCTAATTTAGAGCATTTGTCCATCTCTGGCTTTCTGCAAGGTGCTCAATACCTTGTCTGCCTATGTACATGTTTATAGAAACCAACTTGTTTTCTATGTGTGGGTCTTCATGTTGATAACTGTATCTTCCCCTCCTTACAGGGCAATAATAGCCTTTAAACAGACCAAAGTACTACAAATGAATTGACTCAGGTTCAATTTGAGACAGTTGCAACAGAACCATGTCAAGTAGTGTCTAGTACCCCCAGACATCACAGGCAGATGCTCTGTGAGTAGTTTTCCAGGCAGCCACATTAAATGAGACTCAAATATCAGAGAAAGACTAATCTTATTCTTATTTGTTTGGTATACTCTAGAAAAATCTTACAATTGTGGTCTGTAGTGGGGAGGAAGAAGCAGGACTGGGGTGGGGAAGTGCAGAAGGAAAGTCTGGAAAGGTAACAAAAGGGGACTGGATATGAAGAAGTTTTCTTCATATGAATGTTGCAACCCTATGGTGAGAGTTCTGATACACTCAGCTCTCAGTTATTTAGCCCTCTGTGAATTGTGTGTAAGAGATGGGGCTCCCAGATAGAGACCCCCCCTCAGTTTTTCATCTGCTGATATGAATTGTAAGCCTGCTTTGACACAGGTGAAGTTTAATGGTAACCAAAGATCTCCGAAAATTTGGGTCCAAATCTTAAATAGTTTCGTGTTTCAGCCAACATCTCTCAGTATAAAACAGTCTGTAACATGATTATAGTAAAACCCTTTCAAAAAAGAGTAATTTCACTACTCCATATATCAGTGAGGCATAAATCTGTAAATTTCACAGAAAGAGTGGTATACTAAATTTTCAAATTGATTTATTAGATAGAGTGCTCAAATTTGAATGGATTTGGTCAACATAATGAAAAGAAGGTAATGCTGTGAATGGCTTTCACTTCAGTTTCATTTCTATGACAGTTATTGAGTGTCTATTGTATACAATGGCACCATACTAGGCAATAGAACTCAGGCTGGCAAACTTGAAGAAATGTCTACAAGATACAAGGTTTCTTGATATTGTGTATGTGGTCTTGCCTTTGGAGTCAGGCAGACCTAAATTAACTTCTCAGCTCCATTATTTACTGTGCCCCTCTAGGCCTCAATTTCGCAAAGTCTGTAATTTAGTGATATAGCTCTGTGATGTGAATGTGATGAGCATGAACATCGTTGCTAAACTACAAAGTGCTAGACAAATGTGAAGGCTTACTGTGACAGTGAGGTCCCTAGTAATTTAGATGGTAAGCACTTCCTAGTTGGCTTTTACCTTGAGTTACTCGGCATGCCCTATAATATGTAATAATTCCAACAGGCAGAGAGAACATCACCAGAAATCACAGTTGATCACCTCAAACTAAACTAAAAGTACCATCAAAATCCTGTTTGAAAGCTGATTCTAGTAGTTAAGGGAGTCATATATTATATTCAAATATCATGTCATTAACATCCCAAGTGTTTACCCACTTAAACACCATTGTTTGAAAAGCATAACTTTCCATTTTGCTAAACTTATCTCCACACTGCCTGATTCTCTGCTGCTAACCCAGCAAAGTGGTTAACTTGCAAATTTGATGTTTACCACACCTTTACTCAAAACAATGGGGAAAAGAATGAAAACATAAATGTAGCGTGGCCCTTCTAAATACTTTGGCAGTAGACTTCCCTTTTCATAAGATTTGGGCTTAGCATAGACATTCTGATCACACTGAAGGAGAATTCATATAATTTTCTTTTATTCTTCCCATCACTCAACTCAAAATGGTATAATATATTCTAAAATGGCAACTAGGAATGTGGCCTTAAGCAAGTCCCGTCTCCCCTCTGAGGCTGTTTTCCCATCATGAAATTGGGATAATGCAATTTACCAAGGACCCTTCTGGCACTATCATTTTGTGATTCTGGATGTAAAGTCACAGAAAAAGCGTATCAGTCTTTCTTTGGATTAGGTAGCCATCCACTGTCCTCAAAAGTACAGACAGTCTAGACTTGAGTATTTTGACTTGCATAATAGTTTTAGCTACCACAGGTTACTTACACCTAAGTAAGATATATTACTTGTCTCAAAGTAGACTAGATATACAAATTATTGAGGGAGTGGAGGGCAGAAGGGTTATCCTTGTATCTTAAAGAAGCTGGCCACTCTATAGCTGATGCTTGCTTAGTGATAAGGCCTCAAAGTTTCTAACTGGCTTTCTCTATAGTGTTCCATCTACTGTTTGGTGATGGGCTCTCCTTAACTCAGAGATATTTAAAACACATAGCTTTTTCCTTTCTACTTCTAGGCTTATGTACAGGTTCATTGCTTCTTTTCCTAACAGCTCTTGGTATTTCTTGGTATTTCCAAGGGTGGCTGGGTTCTCTGGGTGGATCCCTTAAAGACTACCTTCAGGCTATTAACAGCCCATTCACCACAAGTGTAGGACTTTCTTTGTACCTGGCTCATTTCTGGCTGCTTTTGAAAAGCCACACATTGCTAATTGCTTCAAGAATCTAAACCTCTTGCCTACTTTTAATGTAAGAAAATACTTACAAATATAAATGTCCAGAAAAGGACCTTCCCTCTGGTGAATTAACTGTGGCTTTTTCACAGCTCATAGTTAGAATAAATGCACAACCCTCTTTCACTATTCTCTGTACTTCCCAAGGATATACTTCCAGTTTCCAAGATGTAATGAGAAAAAAAGAATTGCCCTGACCTGCCATCTTCTCTCCTTCTTTTTTTTTTTTAAGATTTTTTTTTTTAATTTGACAGACAGAGATCACAAGTAGGCAGAGAGGCAGGCAGAGAGAAAGGAGGAAGCAGGCTCCCTGCCGAGCAGAGAGCCCTATGCGGGGCTCGATCCCAGGACCCTGGGATCATGACCTGAGCCGAAGGCAGAGGCCTTAACCCACTGAGCCACCCAGGCGCCCCCCCTTCTCTCCTTCTTATTTACCCTCCTATTCCTTCCCAAACATTTCTTTTTTTTTTTTCATTTTGCAACTCTTGAGTTCTCAGCTTTTAATAAAGGACATTAGCCCCTACTTTTACTCCTTCCTGTATTGGACCCTGGAGATGGTAGGCCCTTCAGGAATTTCATGTAGCAGCCAAACCCCAGAAGAGGAAAAGAAACCTGGAACATGTGAGAATCTATAAACTGTTCAGTGTTTTCTTCAGGGGTTGCTTTAGCATATTTGAGAAGTCTCTTTCCTACTAGAAGACTGAAGTTTACATAAGAGACTCAAAACTATTAACAGATCTGCAGGTTTTAATAACCTCCAGGATTCTCTAGTTGGGAGGATGGCTCAGGGAGCCCATGGCCTTGATCTGATGTCATCGTGGATGTTATGGTTTGTTATGTGGTTTCCAGGTTGAAGACAGTCTTAAGGCCATCTCTTTCATAATTCTGCATTGGTATTTCTGGATTACATATCCACACATGTCCAGAAGCAAGAGTGATTCTAACACTGAAACACTATTCACAGCTTGGTTCCTCAGGAGACAAGTTTCACAGCATTTATCCATCCATCTATCCATTTATCTGTTCATCCTTCTAGCCAGCCAACTAGCTAGTCCTTTTATCGTTCCATCCATTCATTCATCCATTTATCCATTTGAAAAATATTTATTTACTGAGTATGAACAATGTGCCAGACACTAAGGTAGGCATGTTGTGGGAGCAGAGATGATTAAGATAAAATCCCTGGCCTCAAAAAGTTAAATAGGAGACAGAGAGTGATAATGAATACATCTCAACCTTAAAGGATGAAAAGGAAATGCCTGGGAAGAAACTGAATGAGATAGAAGGGAAGGGGCATTCAAGGCAAAAGGCACAGTTTGAATAAAGGCACAGAAACATAAGAAAAAAATGTAGTGAGGGTTTTAGGAAGAGCAAGTCATTTAATGACAAGATCTGGGGAAATGGGGAAGGTAAGGTAAAACCACATTCAAAATGGACTTAGTTATTATGCTAAAAGTTTTGGATTTCAGGCAGCTAAAGATCTGTGA